CCTGAAAATAATATAGTCAGGGGCTTCATCTTAGTATGTCCGAAAGTTGTCAAACTGACCTTCATGTTTTTCGAGGCGCAGCAAGTGCCAACCTTTGAGCATCTCCGATTGCTATCAGCCCTCAACAGGCTGAGAATAGTAGTAGAAATGTAGAATATCTCCAATTTCTTGTACCACCTGAATTAAAAAAGTTTCTGTTTATAATCACGATTATCCTTCCGGATGTATTTGACTAATTGAATTTCCTTATGCGTCATTAGGAGAGGGGGAAATTTCACTTCGTTTTTCCTTCATTAATACCGCGATCAGGTCCGCCATAGGGCCTGGCGCCTTACTGAGACCCCCAATGTGTCAGTTAAAAGAAATAACCATATTTAACTGAAAGTTACGTTTGGTTTACGTCTCCATGGTAGTAATTCAGAAAGGCACCGAAATTACACAGACTTTAGTCTGTATTTTAGTAAGTGTCATGTTTTTGCTCCAGGGAGATTTTGAAAATGACAGCCTATACGAGTAGAAACAATGTCTTCTTACAGGTAACGATTCCCTTTGCGTCGTCAAAAAATATTGATGTCTCTTGAGTGCTGATTTCTATTAACTTCAACCTTAGAATAAACATCCAAGCCACTGAGTGACTGGATCATTAATAGCACAGCCAATCCCCCACAAAATCGAGCATACTCGCTCCCGGTCTCCTGTTGTTGTTGTTGTTGTTGTTGTTGTTGTTGTTGTTGTTGTTTATATATCTCCTGAAATCTGTAGTATTTTTCTGTTATTTACCCCCTCCCAAAAAATAATCAAAAAAAGCAAAGCGCAAACTTACTGAAAATCTGTTTAGTGCATTTTGGGCTGGCTAGCAAAGTGGATTTACCAGGGAACTTAATATTTTAACTTCAGACTAGTATGTTCAGTACAGCCCGACGTAATAAAAGAATTTGACTGTTTAAGATCAGTAATTACTTGTACTTGTTGCGGCTGCGATCATGACTGATTTAACCGGCCCCGTGGCTGCAGACCTGGACAGTTCGAGCCATTCTCTTTGCCAGCGCCGGAGACAGAAAACAGAAGGTCCAAGAACCACTTCCATGTCCTCACGGACTGAGTCGAGCCAGGTTTTGAGCTGACCACCACTTTGACTTTTCCAATTAGGTAACTGTTTCGGGTCGAGGGCAGTGACAGTGAGTTCGTGAGGTTGACGGCGGAGAACGTGTCCAAACCACCCAGCCGTCTTTCTTGGATTGTCTCGGATATCCTTGTGATGTTGTCGCAGTGAGTGTGGACTGTCTCTTTTGAGTCGAAGTCGGTGTACTTCAATGGAAGGATGGTCCCCAAACAGTAGTGCTCAAAGACTTCCAGCTTCTGTTCATCTTCCATGCGCATAGCCTAGCATTCGCATCCGTATAAAAGGTCAGTACTTTCTTCAGCTGCAAGTATGAAGATGCACCTTCGCTTGTCGTCCAAACGTCGTAGGAAGAATCTGACTCGTTCGTGTGTGCGTTTAGTACTCAGAAATCGTATTTTATAATATCGTCAGCTATTCGTTTGGCAGCTGGTCCAAACTGTGTCTGTGGAAGTTCGATCATTGAACTTTCCTCTGATAGCATATCCAGAACCGTCGACCTACCACTAGCCTAGGTTTGATCATGAAATATAATTTAGACTTTGTACAGTATGGCGAGTGCTGCAAGCAAAATGTAGCAGTTTGCGAAAGACCGGTAATCACTTACCAACCAATATTAGTTAGGGCTGCACTACCGATTATCGGGCTGTCTAATCTCAAGTCTTTTCAGTCACGCCAGGATGCCGGCCCTGTAATGAGCTTCTTTCTGACTACTTACAAAAAGTAGATTCTGTAAAAAATGGCTACTTAAATAGTGTGCTTTTTTATCATGGATTTTGACTGCCTTTATAAATTCATATATATTATATAAATCGTGCACGAAAATATTTTTTCTTCGACTCGTTTGGTACGAAATTATGCCTTCTTTAAATTGTATACTCAAAGGGAGTCAAAATCAATGATAAAAAGCATAATAGTTAAGTAGTCATTTTTTAGAGGATGAACTTTTGTAAGCGGTCAGAAAGAATCTCATTGAGGAGCCGGAATCCTGGCGTGACTGAAAGGACTTGAGATTGGACTGCACAATAATTAGTATTGCAACCCTACTTAATGTTGGTTTGCGAATGGTTATAAGTCTTTCGCAAATTGCGGCATTTTGCTTGCAGTACTTGCCATACTGTAGGTATCTTTTCCATGCATTTTGCTCTCCTAGCGCCCTCAGTATGCAGACAATTTTAATTCTTTATCGTAAGCTAATCAGTTCCTTTAGAGCGTGAGCCTTGCCTGTCTCCCCTACTCTCCATCTTACCTTTACCTTGCTAACTGATTTTAGTACGTAGCAGCCGTTTCAAAGGTTATCCCAGATCAGTGACGGCCTGTATCGCGTATCTCCGGCGTTCCCTATTACAACTCTTCCACTTTCAATTTGTCTGCGCCGATCGCCCGAAGTCACGCCTACACGGCCGACTTTGTCTTCGTATTGGATCACCAGGTAAGCCGCCATTCTTGCATTTTTTGAGGAACTAGCCACGTAGTGACATGTACACTGCTTTGCATCTTGTTTCTTTCTACTCAGGTCCTCATGGGCCAGGACTCTAAACGTTAGAACTGTAACAGTACTGAAACTAGAACAATATCAACCAGTATGATATGATTTATCCTAATTTTAATAGCAGCTGAAACCGCCACCGTCTCGGAATACCACGTCCTCCATCATACTTGTGTTGACAGTAGACAACTACTCGTGCCCATCTGAGGCAATAATTTTGTTTAATTTACGGGTTGGCGTCTCTTTTATTAAACAACGGGCTACTTAATGCTTTGTGACTAGGTTCCTCCTCGAGAACCTATTACTCTGCTCAGAGCCCTACAATTATCACGCCCAGTTTCGTACAGGAAGAAGAGGGTTAAGACCAGTAAGAGTTGTTTATTGTGTACAGGAACTTAGTGGTGGTCTGAAGCCTCGACGCGCGGCAGGCCCGGACCCTGCGCGCGCGTCTGTCTGCGTCAATACATAAACGTCATGCGAGAATGAGTCACTGGACACTATCAACTGCTTGGCCAATAGCAGTCTACGGCACCTGTGATTGGCTGAACCAGAAGGCGGTGGAGGAGCGAAGTCAAGTGACGGTTTCCAGGCTTGGTGCCGATGATAAGATGAGCGAGACTGGGATGACCTTTTCTGGTTTTTTAGACGTTTTCAGCTCGCCTTACCTAAACTGAATGTTTTGCCGCATTTGAGTCCCAAGTCCACGTTCGTTGGTCATTCGGCGTCATTAAGTTCACTGCTCTTAGCTACTGAGTCACAGGTACGCCGTCTTGTTGGTAACGATCGGGAATATTTCTTCATCACCCATATAGTCCTGGGGGCCATGGGACCGTCTGCACGGCCTCTCCATTGGGCTCCAATTCACGACGGGATGAGCATGTACCGTAGTCAGCGTTCACAATTGCAATCAACAGGGAGCTAGAGCCTAGCTCAATGTTAGAGCCTTGGACGCAATGAACAAAGGACGCGAGTCGAATCTCTGGTCCTGCAAACATGGGTTTGGGTAAGACTGACTGTCTAAAATTGACATCCTAGTTTCCATTGTCTTCGACGGTACTCCTCTTCTGCACGTATTCGTATCTAAACCCCCTGAACACAGATTTTGCTTTATGAGATCGCGTGCCAATCGGTGTTACAGTTAGTCCTTGGGACGTCGCACTCCGTCCAATTGACTGTCAGCCTCTCCAACACAGCATTTCTTGGGTACAGCGATGGCTCCAGCGCGCGTTGAATTTCTTTGTGTTCAACAGACTGTCGTACATGTTGTGGACTTCAATGCCAGTGCCGAATTCTATTTTGTGTTTTAGTTTCACGGGGATGGAAAACCCATTTCGTCCACCAGATTAATGCCTCTAGACTGGGTGCTTACGCCGCAGATGTCTTCTGGAATGTTGCAAAGTCCTGTCCTCAGCGTTCGAGTCTATTTTCACGGAACAACTCACGACGCCTCGCCCGTATGTTGACAGTGTCAAAAACACTGTGCTATTTTGTACTCAAACATAATTTGTTTTTAAACTCAGATGTTCCGCGCCCCGTTTTGACATGACTTGCTCCGCTGAGCATACGCGATACTTTTTTCTGACTTGAGTCGATCTAAAAATTGTAATAAGGTCACTTTTTCTGCATGTAGTTTTGCTTCAGTTCTGTTGTGGATATGTTTTTATGTTTAGTTCATTACCCATAATTCTATGGACGGCTTATGAGATAAAAGAGAACCATACGAGTAAGGCAGATGCTTTGAATGCATATAATTTATAAAATAAAAAGACCGTTCCTTCTGGTCTTATACCATGGACTTTTAGTGAATAAGGGAAATTAAAGTATTCTCAACTTTCACTGTGCCATATCAGAATCACTTCGCCTACCTGCAACCTTGCACCCACCAGAGGTTCTCAAATATACACTTTTAAAGAAAAAATTTCCAGAGCGCTTTATGATTGCTTCTTGTGTAGGCTATGACGTGCAAAATGTTACAATTTTTTTTTATAAATTCGAACAAAAAATCGATTCCGTTTTGTAAGTCTTTTGAAGCTAACTTTGGAGACCATAATGCAGGGCTAACGGTGATGGATAGCTGGTCAAGAGTAGGACTTTTTGAATGCATTTGTAAGGCGTGAGTAATGCAGTTGACCCAATTGGTAAAAAACTCACGGCCTCGGTGGGAGTCGCACCTACACAGCAGGAAAGGCTTTTGCGCAGCCAACGCTCTACCATTGACCTACGAGGCTTACCGTGCGCCATGAATTTAATCACGCTTGGATCGATTTTACCCGGAGTTTTCTCACAATTGGGTCAACTAAATTAAGCAGATCTGCCAACCC